GGTGAGCGGCGGCCCAGCCCCAGAGGTAGCAAGATGATGGCAAACCTCCTAATGGAGCTTGACAGCAGTGGGATTAAAAGCACAAGTGAGATTGCAACCCCTCTGCAATCAGCTTCGGCCTGGGAAGAGGTGAACCAGAAAAGAAATCTCCTGGCAGCGGGGAGGGGTGGGAGCACACAGGCAGGGCTAGGGGGGAAGCCTTGCCTGTCCCGAGCCCTGCTTGCTCACCCTGCCAACCCATTCTCAATAGGAAGGAGCCAATCCAGCAGCGTCAGTGAAGGGTTTCACCAGCAACATCCCCAATTTCCACTGGTCCCCAGGGGCTGGTGCTTCTACTGCCCAAAACTTCGGATGCGGAGTAGCCCATGCCATGCGTGCTGCTCACACCTCCCTCTCCCCACCTGCAAGCTCGAGGCATCGCACAGCACCAGTGAGGTCCCCCCCCCTTCTTCCTCTCCTTCGGGAGCACGCTTGGAGCGGCATCACCGATGCTGGACACAACACCCAAGCAGCCAGGTCCCAGCTGGAGATGGGAGGACCCACTCTGATGCAAGCAGGTGCTCAGCAGGACACCCGCACCCCTATTTCTGCAGGACGGGATGCGTGCAGACCCCCACGGCTGGCACCAAGCCCCAGCCGCCCCAAAACACAGCTCTGGTTTAACTAAAAGGCAGCGCTGGCCACGTTTCCCACCCAAAGGGTTCTCCAGCAGCGCTGCTGCCCCACGCTTCCTTCACCCTCCTCCCCGCAAGCAGGAATCTCTCTGCATCCCACTCAAACCCAACCCAGACGAGCTTTTGCAGGGATGAAGGGGGTTTAGCTGGCACAAACCACCCCAGGGGTGGCTTGCCAAGTCACCATCTGAGAAGCCAGCAAGGCACAAGAACCGTCCCCGTGCCTGCTCAGCTGAAACCCAGTGGCAGAGGCTGCTCTCCCGCCTGGAAGCTGTTTGCTCCCAGCGAAAGGCAGGGGAAAGCGGGGCTTTTTAAGGAAAGAAAAAGGGAGCCACTCCAGGGACCCACGCGTGCGCTCGGGAGCGGAGGGAAGAGCTGATGGGTTTTGGCACGGTGCTTGGGATGAAAAGCTAGCTCCAGCTCAAGACCTTGTTTTGCAGTGACCTGTACTGAGAATTGGCTTTTTCTTTTTTCTTGCCAAATGGAAAGAAAAAGAAATCCTTCCAGGTCACAGGAAAGAAAAGCGTTTACTCATGGGTCAGGTGAAACAATCTGATGCAGGGTTGAGTGCAGCTTTATCCTCCCTAAACCAGGGAAAGACTCAATTTCCATCCGAAAAAACATCTAAAAATAAAAAGAGAAAGGTTTTTGGGGTCAGAAGCACTCGATTTTGGTTTATCGGCTCTAACGACTTGCTGAATTGAACCCCACTTTGCAAAACAGGGGTTGACCCAAAAGCGCAGCAGGGTGGGGAGGGGATGGGCTGATGCACCCATCTGGAAAATTTGAACCATGCTGGGACA